GTTGGTTGCTTGTGCAGTTTGATCCCATAATACAACTTCCAATAAAATGAGTCAGATGGAAGGTTTGCTACGTACAGGAATATTATGCTGTTGGAATTCAGTTGTCAGAACTTTTCCTTGACTTCTTTCATCAAATCTGACATCCCATTCTGAGTATCTCTTAGGCTCAAATCTGGCCCTACCTGCCCACAGCTGAGAAGTGACTCTTCTCATAACTTTATTTATCTTCTACTTGGTAACTTCTCTTTCTTCTTAGCGGCCTAGTAGAGTTTTCTTGGGTTGTCCAGAATGACGGGTCACCTTGTTGCCCTTCTGCCTAAACAAATGAGAGATTTGTTGTGGCTAGATTGGGTTGTCAGCTCCTTTACACTCCAGCATTTTAGCTAGCCCAGCAAACACCTCAGGACTCAGCCAGGCCTTGCCTTGTCTTGCCTTGCAGGGAGCTATTAGTGCACCTACTTTCTGAACCTCTGGAAGAGCCCTCCTCTGCTGTATCCAGCCCCTGTCACTGGCTACCCACGGAAATACCAAGTCTGCTGTCTCCAGAGAAGCTGCTGACTCGGCAGATGATGCCCACCTAATTTTAGTATAACAGTGCTGCAAGGAATTTATAATAAATAGGGATGTTTGTCAGATGGTCAGGGCAGTGTGTGTGTGTGTCACCCAAGTCTTTAACTGCTAAGATATGAGGTCTCGTCGCAGCGGGCAGCCAGAAGGCTGAAGGGAGCCCCGAAAGTTTAACGTCTGTGTCTTTACTGCTAGGACTGGGGTCCTTTCGCAGAGGGTAGCCAACAGGCCAACAGACGCCCCTGTTTATAGGAAGAGCTTACTACTCCTCAGATTTTAGCTGCTAGAACACAAAGTTCCTTCGCAGCGGGCAGCCTAGGGAAGGCTGAGAAGTGCCCTAGCGGACCTGTCACCTGGGAGTGATACAGATCTAAACACCCAAGCTCTTCCTATACCTGTCCCTATGACCGGCTGAAGTTCTTTTAAATTGTGCTTGGTTCTGTTACAGCAACTGAAGGAGTCAGGTTAAAGCTTAAACAGTTACAGGTTTATTAAAGAAGCTTATAAATCATATGGTTACAATGGCTATTGCTCTATTTCTTAACTATTAGCAAAATATAGGTCTTAAAAATGGTTACAAAGAAGATAAAGATAGAAAAATAGAAATAATGGTACCAAGTAACAGCTTACTCTTTCTATGTGTACACTTAAGACAGAGGACCACATCCAGGTACAATTTTTACCCCCTTCTGTGCCTCTCGACTCCAGCATGTCAGGCCAGGGCCGGTCCCTCAATTCCTAGGAAAGACGAAAATACGAGGTGGGCGTCCCCATAGAACCTCGGGAGGTCAAACACCTAACCCGACCAGCAGGTAGAGGGTAGAATGACACTCAAAGTGAGTGTGTGCTGGGCCCATCTTTTATAATCATGAGGTCACGTATTTCTCTTTCTTATCTGTAATGCCAATTGGTGCTGGTCTGTCTGCTGTGAGACCAGTTCTTACAAGGGAGTTGTGAACTTAATTTACACTTGTAAGAGAGAATTGAGATGATTAAATTTTGAAGTACAGGACATTGTTTTCTCAGTGGAAAATTCCTCTCAGGGACTGTGTGTGTGTTCGAATCAACATAGGGGCCAGCCGCAGCCTGTAGGAGTGCCGGATGTTCTTGCTGGGTGGGAGATTCCTCCCCCCCGCGGACGGCTGTGTGTTCATATCAATATGGGTTAAGTCAAGGGCACTTACGTGCAGCCTCTTGGTCAGCGATTAGTTTGACCACCCTCTTATCTCTGCTTACAGTTGACCATGGTCACTCAGCCAGCATATCTAAACCTCCTGCTCCAAGGTTTTCAAAGATCATGTTGTTTTTCCACTGCTCTGTGTGCCCTGCATGCTTTCAAGCAGACAAAGATGGATGTTAAAATGGGAGTTCATGTCTGGCTACAATGTTAGAGATCAATTTAATAATAGTAGTTACACGATTATTTGATGGTTCCCAGGGATGGGGCTGGCAGCTGGTGTGCTCCCCACCCCAATCCCAGGGAGCCCACCGCCACCTGCTGCTGCTGCTGCCTCTGTATCAGTTGTAGTGGAGCACATGCCTCTGAGGCCAGCTCCCGTATATCCCCCACCCCTTAACTGCCTCTGACACACAGGCAGCAAGGGAGGGGGAGTGCATGTAGTTGTTTGGATTAACCAATAAGCCCAGATTTATAGGTTAATGGTTTAAATTTCTAGGCGCTAACGTCCCTAATAATAAAAAGTGTATTAATAAAGACTGAGATTTAAGTGATGCTAAACAGAGGTAATAGAAACAAAAACTGGTAACAAATCAAACACAAAAACTACATGTGGCCTTACGAGGCTTCAGCCTTTGTCTGAAGAAGTTTTCTCACCTCTACAGTCTTTTTCAGCAGCACTAATCCACGGAGCTGGGGATCCATCGTTCATAGATGCAAATAGTGCTGACCTCTCTGTTCCTTAAGTTATTTCCTTTAGTTAATTCCCCAAAAATCTTCATCTCAAGAGTCCGGATGACCTGCTGTCTTATTTCAGAGGCTGGGCCAGCTAGACTCTGCTCTCAGGCTCGGAGGGTAACCAAGAAGACACAAATTGCTTAATGCAAATAAATGCAAGGTTTATTAGATATTACAGGTGATATAAAAAGAAAAGGCAAGAGAAGGCTGACAACATCCCTTTGGCTTGCTGGGGACTCCAACTCAGCAAAGGATGGGCTCCTGGGCCAGGTCGGAAAGGCACCTCTGTACAGTTCCAGGTCCTTCGGGCAGTCCGGTGTCTTACTTCAGAGTCTGGCTGGTCCAGCCTCTGAAGTAAGACACCTGCTGGTATCCAGACACTGAAATCTTCTGGTAAGCACCCACACACAAAACATGATGATATAATTGATTGCCAGTCACCAGCTTTTACTTGATACTACACAACAGGTTTACAGAGAAATACGATGACAGTAGTGGGTGAGGTGTGGTAATTGTCAGCCCTGATTGATAGGCATTAATATGGGGACATTGCAGGGTTGCCCTTCATCAGGGAGCCAGGGGAAAGTGCACAGTTTGCTGCATTCCTCACTCTGGGGAGCACAGGGTGCAGAGGAACCTAGAATTGCCTCAGCTGGGGGACATGCAGACCTCCCCTGACTGTGTCTGCTGGAGCTGCAGTGGCCATGAACACTGAACCAAGACAAGCCAGATCAACAGGATGAGCATGGAATAGGATTGCTTCTCATTAAACTTCATAGAAAACTAAATAAAACGGAGAATTTTGGAGTAGTGCTCTGTTTTAGCACAGCTAAATCAATGCTTAAGGTTGGAAAACTAGAAGAAAATGTAACTGGAAGCCAAATTGACTAGCCCTTTTTTTTGCTAGAACATAGTGAATGGTAAGAGTTTAAAATATACACTTAAGGAAAAAAATATACTTGATGGAATTCTCATTTTAAAAAATGACTAAAAACAAATGGAAAAATTTTAACAATCCCTGTTTTGTAAGAAATCTTAAATACAAATCATTTAACTTTCTACAAGGGATACATTGTAAAGTTGGACAATTCTGCTCCCATTAAGGGAGTAAGAGAGGAAATTTCTGCCTAGTTATTGCCTATTGGGAAGACCCTCATAGCTCTGGGTGTAATCCACATATGGCTGCCAATAGAATGTCAGAACATTCTTCAGCTGCAGAACTTGTACAAGATACTTGTGAACTGACATGTGCAACAGTCAGTTTTTTGACCTTGACTGGAATTTATGGGAACTCAGCAGCATCACATAGCAACAAGGTAGAATGTTGTCTTATGATGCCAGAAAAATCCAAACTGGAACTGTAGGGGAAGTACGCTGAGAGCTTTAGGAGAAGCACATACTTTCGGGCAATTGTACTAGAAATGCTATGAAATACTGAAATGACTATATGAAAAGCAAAAGAAAAGAGGTGGTGAAATGAAGAGAAGAGGGTAAGAGGGAGCTTCCCAAAGCCAGTGGAAGTAACAAGAGATGGCTTCCCCATCAACATCAGCACCTGATGATTTCAATATATTTTATTCTCTGTGAGTCTGCATTTTATAATGTAGTTTGTATGGAGGGGATGGACATTCATTGAATGGAGTAGATGGAATTCATCTGAGCATTTTAAATGGAGCTGCAGCAATGAATTTTTTAAAGAATGAGTGTGCATTTGGTTGTGGGTATGGTTGTGCTTGAGATGGTGGAGAATGAGGTCCAGAAACCAGTTTGGGTACTCTTCCTAGTTCAGCATTCATGAACATGCTGGTGCTGCTGTTATCTGTGAAATCCACTGACCGGAATCAGTCTTGATTGTTGGCCAACAATTTTTCTTATCCTATTGAGCTAACAGAGAGGGGAATAGCCTGCCTGTGGGCCATTCAGAAAAGTTAATTTTTACTTCACAAATAAACTTAAAAATGAGTCAGTCTCCCGCTTTGCGTTGCAGTTTTGAAAGCACCGCTTGAATCTACATATTCATGGTTCCTGGACCTGCTTCTGGGAGAGCCTTGCTTTGCAGTCAGTTTTTTTCCACCACACTGAAAAACTGTAGGGCATAAATTGAACGCAGAGAAATGTCTGGGAAGCCTTTTGATTTTATTTTGCAAATTAATGATCCACGGTGGATCTAGAAAATTCCCCAGATTTTTCCTCCTTATTTTCTTCCCCCATGCTGATTCCTTATAAAGGCCTCAAAGTCTCACTAAACTGGTGGTAGCGGGCAAGAGAAGTTACCGTTCCGTTCTAACCCTCCTGGCCCTTTGCATCACAAAGAATGAGGAAAATAGGAGCAACTTGCAATGATCATGGGGAAAGGCTAAAAGGCTGAAGAAATATGAGCAAGGAACTGAACAATGCAATGAGCAAGATGATCAGAGGAACTGAACCTTTTGGCTGTGTCTAGACTGGCAAGTTTTTCCGCAAAATCATCTGATTTTGCGGAAAAACTTGCCAGCTGTCTACACTGGCCGTTTGAATTTCCACAAGAACACTGATGATCTCATGTAAGATCGTCAGTGTTCTTGCGGAAATACTATGCTGCTCCCGTTCGGGCAAAAGCCCTCTTGTGCAAATCATTAGCGCAAGAGGGCCAGTGTAAACAGCATAGTACTGTTTTCCGCAAAAAAGCCCCGATCGCAAAAATGGCAATTGGGGCTTTTTTGCGGAAAACCGTGTCTAGATTGGCCACGGACACTTTTCCGCAAAAAGTGCTTTTGCGGAAAAGCATCCTGCCAATCTTGACTTGCTTTTCCGAAAATGCTTTTAACGGAAAACTTTTCCGTTACAAGCATTTTTGGAAAATCATGCCAGTGTAGACGTAGCCATACAGTATGTTGGGGGGGATGAGGCTCTAAATATGGGAAATCTTTTGTAGCTGATTCTGTAAACTGCCAAGGGACCTTTCCTGTCTAGTGCCCATGAGCCACAGGAGTGCAGTGCATGATGTGCAGGAAAGTCCTGCCTTGAGGAGGGACTTTTCTTTAGATTGTATGTTTATAGCATTATTCTGGGGAGAGGACCCCATGTAGTCAAACCTCCCTGATTCAGTGTTAGAGCAGAGAGAGAAATGTGCTGGGGAGGCTGGAAGCAAACAAAAATCTGGGTTCATATTACATAAGGCTGAGTATAAAAAATTGCAATTCGCACACAACGGCCAGCCAGAAGACTAACTTACTCTGACTCCTTGATGTGAGCAATGCTAGACAAAAAGAGTCTTCCATGTGGAACGCAGCACATGGTTTTGGGAAATACAAATGTATATGAGCAACACTGGTAAGGTAATGAGAGAGGATACACACACAGACAAAATGTGTGTGCAGGAAAATTCACCTGTCTGACCTGTGCTAGCCAGCGGGGGTTTTCCATCAGATGTGCATTCAAAGAGCAAATGCATTCTAGAAGGGAGACCCTGCACGAGCCCATGTTTTAGTATGTTGACATTATAATGATACATCAGTCACTCTCAGGGCCAGCCTGGCCGTGCAGGACCCTGCGGCCATGGGGGAAGAGCGCTGCTGGCCGGCACCACGGGGCTGGGGGGGGGGGCTGGCGCTGCGGGAGCCAGGCACGCAGCACTTGATGGCAACTATGAGGGACGCTGCGCGCCCCTTACAGCTGCCATCAGGTGTCCCCCATCAGTTGGAGCCTCGGCAGCTGCCTTAGTCTGGCCCTGATCACTCTATAGGACATGCTGGGACGTGGTAAGGGAGGGAGGAGGAGAAGAACAAGGAGATAGAGCAAAAGCAGGGGAAACAAGCTCCCAGATTCCTTTGCTGTTGCCCTGTATTCAACCCTGCTAAAGCAGAGCCGTTCCCAAAGGGAGAGGCAGTGAAGGGAGACACCAGGGAGAGCTGCTGGTTTTCTTGCACTTGTAGGACCTTGTGTAAGTCTCCAGACAGGCCTCCTCTGAGAAAACGGAGGCTTGCCACAGCATTGTGGGAACCTTTGACTTTAACTTAGATTAGGATGGAAGGGGGATGCAGAGCAGCTGCAACGTGACTGGCCTGCAGGGCTAATGCAGACAGTGCCCTAGGGTAAAACTATAGCAGTAACAGTCACCCGTTAACAAACACTGGGCTCAGGCCTGGAAAATGCAGCAAATCAACAGAGGGTCCATCGTGTGGAGAGGGTGGCCTGGCCCCAGAGCAGGGCAAGAGAACCCATCTGCTCTCCTGAAAACTTGCCTTCAGGTGCCTGGGAGGCAGATGTGGTGAGTGTACGTGGGAAATGCAGGCAGGGTCCTTCACAGGGGACTGAGCAAAGCAGCCCTGGCAAACGCATTCACCCCACGGGAGAGAGCCTTGCCCTGCGAGGTGCTGCTGTGGGTGCCTGTGAGCTATGAAACACCCTCCCTACCATTCAAGTCAATGGGAGTTAAGGGAGCTCGGCTCCTTGCAGGGCTGGATGTAAAGAGAGTGAGGAGAATGATCATCTCCCTCTTATATTAGCCCAAGACATCAGTCAATGGCCCCATGTTAGCTCCCCATCACATGGCATGCAGCAGCTCCCCTAAGACAGTGGTGCGCAACCCGTGGGTCACGGTAGCAGATGTCTTCCTGGGGGCTGAAGCACTTAGAGCCGGCTGGCTGGGAGCTGGGCCTGGCCATTGGCGGTCCCGTGGCATAGGGGTCATGGTGGAAAAAAGATTGTGTACCACTGCCCTAGGATACTCTGTTGGCTATTAATAGGGAGCCTACAGTCAGAGCTTGGCAAGTTGGGTGCCGCTAAGTGTAGGGATCCACCAAGTAGCAGCTTACTGTTAACTGGCTTGGGAAACTTCCCCCTGGTTAGCCAGCTGTGAAAGTGTGAGACTTCGCACCTAGCCCTCCCTGAGGGGGGCATTGCATTCACCCCATAGCATTTTAATGGTCCGCGTCAAGCTGCTTCTGTTACCACCAGCTCAGCCTCCGTCTGCTGCACTCGCGGTTGATGTCATTCTGAAGGGCTGTGGTAGATTCCTCACCATGGATGCGGTAGGGAGACGCTGTAGGGATTATTCTGGGGAAAGGCCATGCCCTGTGTGAGACAAGAGACCAGACTAGCCCTTCTGGCCATAGAAAGTAGGAATTGAACCTGAAGGGAACTTTGTTTCTCTCTGGAGGCAAGTGATCCCCATTGTTCTTCTTTGTGGCCCCTCAAGCCAGATTTGTCTCTAATGAGATTCTCCAGTATCTCCTCTCCTCAACCATAGAACAGGCTATATACATGGTACCTTCCTTTTCACAGGCTTTCAGATCCACAAGTATTTGATGCTGACCTGTGTTTCCTTTCATCCGATCTAGGCACTTCCTATCGCAACCCAAACGCCCTCTCAGGTAGGTAATATGAGTCTTCTGTTCGACCGTGTGTGTGTGAGCTGACCTCCCGTTTGACTGGGAGAGAACGGAAAGAAACAAGGCTTGCCTTCTGCAGCCACTGGTGCTGGGTGGAGCGGGGTGGGGGTTGGGGGACACTATGTCCCCTCCTAAGGAGGAGGGCTGAGTTGACAGAAGTGCCTCGTGTCTAGCTGGGTTAAAATGGAAATAGCTGTAGCCAAGTTGCACCAACTCTGATTCTTTTAGTTGCTTCTTATGTCCCCTGACATCACCTCCCTCATTAATGCTGGGGGTTGCCTCTCCACTCATGTTGCTGCCTGTTATCCCTGATCAGCCACAGCTAACTCAACCCACAGAGGCTAGAGCCACATGTGAAGATGGGCAAAGAACGATGTGTAAAGAAGCCTGGGAGAAACCTGGACCCAGGCGCTGAATGTGGAATTCAGGGGAAGGGCTGAGCTGGTAGGAGAGATGTGAAGCAGACAGAGGGTAAAGCTAAGTTGTGCTGTCACCTGTTAGGCCAACACAGGCCCAACCCCTAAAGATGCAGTCAGTCGTGCCTGGTAGGTGAATAGTAACACTGGTGCCCCAAAAAAGACATAACCAAAAAACAAAACAAAACCACAACCCACTCCCCCGCAACCAAACAAAAACCAGAAATAAAATGTCAATGCCAAGCCTCACTGGAATCGACTGGGAATGTCTGTCCACCTGTCTAGGTTGTCAAAGAAGAGGGAAAAATTGGTATTAAAAATGTATTTCAAAATCCCAGTGCTATAGACAGTGGGCTTGATC